TGATGCAGGCGGATGATGAACACTGATGCCGGCCGTCAAGGACGAACACCATCCCAGGGAAGAATTGAGAGTGGCTGTTATAATCGTGGTCATCAACGCTGAGACTTGATGGATCTTCTGCCTCTCCAGGCACCCATGATAGCAAACACTAGCCCAAACTCATTCTTCTGGACGAGCTTGGAGAGGGCAGCTTCGCGAGCACACAACCACCATGCCAGCAGAACCACACTTCAAATATAAAAATAACCACCGATGCTGGTACAAACAGACAATGTATTGGAATGTGTTTATATCAAAAAATAATTATTGTACTTACCATTTTAATTGATACATGGGTCTGTATAATCAATATAAAGAAACTGAAAGAAATTTTATGAGGGCGCTTAGAGGATTTGAATATTATATATAGTACATATCTATTTCCTTTGTCAAAGTTGTTTCTGTATGCTTAATGCAGCTACGAGTCGGGTGTAGTATAGGTGGTTTTGTTAAGTTTACTTTTGGAGAAGATTTTGAGATGATGTGTTTCGTAATCTAGTTGTTGGGTAGGCCTACATATTCTTGTCAGTGGCCTCAGAATCTGGGCGAGTTGATGAAATGTCGATAGCAGTGAAAGTTGAAGATTACCAATAACCTCCCGGGTTATTTTGTGTATTGTTACAGTCACGATATTGTGCCTTTTTGTTCTTGCTTTGGTGAAGATTTCTATGAGGCAATACCATTCTTCTTCAAGCTTCGGCTGCCAAATCTAATTATTTCAAAACAAAGTCAAGACTGTGAACTGTGTTGAAGCACATATCACCACTGACCTAGTTAAAGGATCCACGACAACGGTGATGTTGCTCGCAACTCGAAGTTGAAGATCATGGGAGACGGCTCGCCCCACGAAAAAACCCAAACATAGATTCTTTAATACCACAGTAGTAACTCAACCACTGGTAGCAAACAGTAATGGTACCTGGAGAAGGAGGATTCCAACAGTGAGGGGGTAGAACAAGTCCAGTTGTCTCATTCTCGTGCCTTCATAACAATCTTTCATATAATTCAGGGCACTTTCGTCTTGCGATTTTTCCCCCTTTTTATTATGCAAGTTTTGTGCAGTGAGACAAGAGCAAAATTTTGGTTGTTTAGTTTGGTTTAGTTTTTTATTTTAAGTGTTCTTATAATACACAAACGTAGTTTCAGTTATGCTTTAATAACATAACTGTTATTTTGATTTGAATGTTTCTAAATTGTATATAGGTCTAGGTTAGGTTAGGTTAGGTTCGTCAGGAAAACTGGGACAAGGGTTTACTGCCGTGCGGTACTTTGATGATATGGACCCGCTCTTGGAGCTGCTGGTCATCTGAATCGAGGCCTTCCGATGGCTTACTGGTCCACCTTTAAATATTATGGTTATAGTTATAACATTTGTTTTGATTACAATATAGTAACTGTGAATATATACAAAATACTGTTTTTATGTCTGGTGTATTTAATTCTTAGAGTAAAGTCATGGGGTATGTACAAGGCCGGCAAGTAACACCTGTAAACAAGAGGAATCAAAGATATAGTAAGGGAGGGGGGTGAAGCTATCCTCTTTTTTCCCATGCAGTTTAATACTATATATATTATGATTGTGGGAGGGACGGGTGCAGAGAGTATTACAACGAGGCATTGGCTATTTAATGGCAGATTTTGTGTACGTGTCGTGGGGTATGCGTGGGAATGGGATTGGGTTGCGAGGGGAAACGAGATAATGGCAAGCTTTACTTTTTTATAGGACGGTTTGCAGGAATAGGGAAATATATGGTTCGCGGTGGGAGGGAGCCTTCCCCGCAGGTTATCGTGGTTTAACTATTGGGATCTTACTAGCTTTGTAGTGGGGGGGGGGGTTGTCATGGCTGGGGCACGGATTTTCGCTTCTGATGACCAGAGCTTTGGTAAGATGGGTAAGGAAGAAGGATGGGTAAGGATGGAAATATTGGAAAAGGGTGGGAGGGGGGGGAGAGGTAGGATATAAAAGGTAAGTGGCCCAACCACTTTGGTGCAATTAAAAAAGTGTATGTGAATTAATAAGATATTCTTTAAGAGGTATAATACTAACCCATCAGAGTCACATAGATATAATAGGTATATAACTACATGACTCTGCATTGGCAGTAATTATACAAGTTGCAATTGCTTTTTTTTTTTTTTTTTTTTTTTTTTTTTTTTTTTTTTTTTTTTTTTTTTTTTTTCGCAATTGCACAACGGATATTTATACGACAGGAAAGGCAATAATTTTCTGGCATTTTATAAATTCGTGACAATAGCTTCTTAATGGTGGTGTCCAACAATAGTTAATAGCATAATTTTACATTAGAAAGTTATTTAAGATGTCTCCCTAATTGGGGGCGATGATTTTCTCAGTATACATAGAAGGGTTCTGGTAGTATCCAATCTTCTTCATCAGGTAAGTTGCTCAAAATCATGGGTCGAGGGTAATCATCTTTATGAATAAAACGACGAACCCTCTGTGGGAGAGTCATTCTTTGAGTCCTGTGAGGCGGAGTATTGATGGTGTAATCGGTGGTATTTATCACTTGTATAGGATGTTCTCTATCTGGCATGTATAGTTCTTGCATTGTATAAAGTTGTTTCTTTTTTAGGGTGTCAAGGCGTACATTTATGGCAGTAAGGGCACGGATTGAGAATGTCATCCGGGGTTCCAATGGGCTCGCCGTCAGGAGTGTGTGTGTGTGTGTGTGTGTGTGTGTGTGTGTGTGTGTGTGTGTGTGTGTGTGTGTGTGTGTGTGTGTGTGTGTGTGTGTGTGTGTGTGTGTGTGTGTGTGTGGTGTGTGTGTGGTGTGATGTGATGTGGGCGTATGGCTTAGATGTAAACGAGGGAAGGTTCAGTGTGGTTAGTAGGTGTTAGGATGTACGTATGATGACAGCTGGATTAAGCGTGTGATCCTTTTAGGTAGTGAGGATTTTAGGTTTATACTTTTGCGTACGTGTCCCACGGGATGATGACTGCATTACTCTCTGTGTATATAACGCCTTGCTATGCTTGGTCACTTACCATCACACCTATGTAAGAGTGTTACCTGGAGGTTACTTGGAGGTTATTCCGGGGATCAACGCCCCCGCGGCCCGGTACATCACAAGGCCTCCCGATGGATCAGGGCCTGATCAACTAGGCTGTTACTGCTGGCCGCACGCAGTCCAACGTACGAGCCACAGCCCGGCTGATCCGGCACTGACTTTAGGTATCTGTCCAGCTCTCTCTTGAAGGCAGCCAGGGGCTTATTGGCAATTCCCCTAATGCTTGATGGGAGGTGTTGAACAGTTTTGGGCCCCGGACACTTATGGTGTTTTCCCTTAGTGTACCAGTGGCGCCCCTACTTTTTATTGGGGGCATTTTCCATCGCCTGCCCAGTCTTTTACTTTCGTAGGGAGTGATTTCTGTGTGCAGATTTGGGACCATTCCTTCCAAGATTTTCCAAGTGTAGATTATGATATATCTCTCCCTCCTGCGTTCCAACGAGTACAAGTCAAGTGCTTCCAGCGTTCCCAGTAGTTAAGGTGCTTGACAGAACTTATACGTGCAGTAAAGGATCTCTGTACACTCTCTAGATCTGCGATTTCACCTGCTTTGAATGGAGATGTTATTGTACAGCAGTATTCCAGCCTAGAGAGAACAAGTTATTTGAAAAGGATCATCATTGGCTTGGCATCTCTCGTTTTGAATGTTCTCATTATCCATCCTATCATTTTCTTTGCACGTGCGATCGTGGCACTGTTGTGATCCTTGAAAGTGAGATCCTCAGACATTACTACTCCCAGGTCCCTTACATTATTTTTCCGCTCTACTGTATGGCCGGAGTCAGTAGTATACTCTGTTCTAGTTATTATCTCCTCCAGGTATATATTATTTTTTAGAGGTATTGTACGCATATATGCTGTAAGAATGCTTGGGTGTGGTTTGTTGTGATTGTGATACCGTTGCGATGTGACAGGCTTATATGCTCATGTAAAGCTAGGAGAATAAGTGACAGGGTAATGTATACTGACGAGAGACAGTGGTGGTTGCCCAAATGAGGGGGAAGAGGGGGGGGGGGTAAAGAGTGTTGAAGTGACTGACTTTGCAACTTGATAGTGTTTCTTGTATACACCTTTGTTTTGTACAATGACCTTTGTGCAGTGAATAGGTTGTGATAGGGTAGTTTATTTACGTGTTCGCATTAGGTTACAGAAGCCTGTGCTGTGATATTGACTTTTGTTGACAGCATATCTAATCTTATATGATATTCAATTGTATGTGTACAACGACGTGTTAATTCAGTAATTGGCCAGTGTGTTTGGCGCAGGTGTGTGTAGCTCCGGCGGATACAGATACTTCTGTATGATTTAACCCCAGGATAGGGGTAGTTATTAGGAATGTGTTTTTCTTGTTACATTAATATATATGTGTGATGTCTTCTTAACTCTACATGAGTACTGTTGTTTTGGTCCGCTGCACGTCACACTTATGTTGAAGTGAGACATGACAATCTTAAGTGTTTTTCATATATATTATATATATATATATATATATATATATATATATATATATATATATATAATATATATATATATATATATATATATATATATATATATACTGACAGGTTGCTTGAGTGGTGTGTAGTGTGCTTGTAAATTTTATCGTTTTTCTGTGTCGGGTTTCTTCTCCTGTGTACAACAACGTGTGTGTGTGTGATATTTTCTTTATGTACTTATTGTTCTCAGTATGTCTATTCTATATATATGTATTATGTTTGTCTGTACAAGATATGCTCTCAATAAAATAAAAAAAAATCTATTATGATGTATCATTTTATTGTTCTTTAGTTAATCCTGCACTGGAAGCGAACCTTATTTGGCCTTAGCATGGATTAATGACCCATGTACTCTGGATAAACTTCAGACCAAAGTAACTATCTTTAGCAATAACGTGCACCTTAAACTACATCACATAAAGCTCTTCTAGGACTCACCGGTAGCAGCGAGGGGCGTGTCTACGAGGCTCCAGATGGTGTAGGTTTGATAGTTCCAGGAAAACTTCTTACGGGTGTAGAGGTAGTCGAAGTGCGCAGAACCTGAAGGTAAGGAAGACACCGCTAGTTATAATAATAATAATAATAAATAATATCTTGATTTCTACAAGTACATGTACAAGGTATATATGCCCTGTCGATATCAATGACATACTACTATATAAAAAAAACCTTGTTATGCAGAGCATCTCGGGCAAATTAGGTCATGTTTATCCCGGGATGCGACCCACACCAGTCGACTAACACCCAGGTACCCATTATTACTGATGGGTAAACATGAAAAACCGGTGTAAGGAGTGCAACAACACTTCTAATGTTTCTACCCTTGCCGGGAATGGAACCCTGACCTTCACTGTGTGAAGCGAGAACTGCCACTAGGCCACAGGCTTGGTGGTATCATTATTTTAGAATACATTACCATGTGGAGATCATTTGCTTTTTAAATGTGGTGAAAAACCTAGCTACAGTAACACAGGAAATAGGTGTGTTTCCGATGCGTGAAATTTCCCAGCTCAACCATTCAACACCTAATATATTTTATTGTTTTTAAATAGGCCAGATTACGATGAGCTCCTCCATGACAAATAATTAATAATATTACTTTGAATGATATTCTTCGGGTAAACAAAAATTAAAAAGTTGAATGCGCTACAATGTACGACAATGACATAAAAGAATCGGTATATGAAGACCACTTGGAAAATAGTAGTGAGACTGATAACATGCAGTGGGAGGGATGGAGGACAATTGTTATAATACCGACACAGTTATAACATCTGTTATAACACTTACACAGTTATAACACAGTTTTCAAGTGTCATCATATCATTAAGACTGCGTCACGTTAGTTTCCCCCCTAACAAACAAATGAACATTTTGCTGAGTTGTTAGTCATGTGATGACTCATTCAATGACAATCCTGGTCACTTGATCAAGACCTGCAGTGGCTTACCTGCTGACCCCGTCAAAAAAAAATCCTTTGTATCTTTGATATACTTTCGAAGAGTTTCGAGAGTTTCACTACTCTTGGAGCCCGGGTATGGGCCAGGCTCGTCTGATGCTGTTGCTGCTGGAAGCCCGCTGCCTCACATATCCATCACAGTTTGGCTGATCTGGCACCTGGTGAAGATACTTGTCTAGTTTCCTCTTGAAGGCTTCTACACTTGTTCCAGCCGTGTTTCTGATATCTTCTGGTAAGATGTTGAATAGCTTGGGACCCCGGATGTTGATACAGTGTTCCCTTGTTGTCCCCACCGCACCCCTGCTCCTCATTGGGTTTATTTTGCACTTCCTCCCATATCTTTCACTCCAGTATGTTGTCATGCACAGACCGGGCCGCGGGGGCGTTGACCCCCGGAACTCTCTCCAGGTAAACTCCAGGTATGCAGATTTGGGACCAGGCCTTCGAGTACTTTCCAAGTATATATTATCATGTATCTCTCTGCTCCAATGAGTACGTGTTCAAAACTTGAAGGCGTTCCGTGAGCCGTAAATGATCTCTGTATTTGTTCCAGCTCTGATATTTCTCCTGCTCTGAACGGGGCCGTCAGCACTGAGCAATATTTTAAATGAGGGAGCACTAGCGATTTGAAGTGTGTCACCGTCGACATTATTTCCCTTGTTTTGAAAGTTCTCAATACCTACCCCGTCATCTTCCTGGCTGTCGTAATCTTTTTCTTGTTATGGTCTTTAAAAGAAAGGTCAGCTGACATAATTATTCCCAGGTGTTCCTTTCGTTCTATTTGGTGACCCTCTTGAGTTTTGTTTATAGTGTTCCTTTTGAGTTCTTCATCCTTTTCATACCTAAGCAGCTGGAACTTATCACCATTGAACGTCATGTTATTCTCCACTTCCCACTGGAAAACCCTGCTTATGTCTTTCCGTAATTTTTCAGTGTCCTCTACTGTAGTGACTTTCATGCTTATTTTAGTGTTATCTGCAAATGATGATACAAAAGTGTGACAGATGTTTTTATCTATGATGTGAAGATGAGAAACACCAGAGGTGCCAGGACAGTGCCTTGGGGCAATGAGCTTTTTACCTCGCTGATGCTGGATTTTACTGTTTACTACTTTTTGTGTTCTGTGTGTTAGGAACCCGAAAATTCATCTGCCTACCTTCCACGTAATGCCCATGGCCCTCATTTTGTGCACTATCACTCCATGATCACATTTGTCAAACACCTTTGCAAAATCTGTGTAAATCACCTCTGTGTTTTGGTCATCTTCCAATGCCTTCGTAATTCTGTCATAATGGTTCAGCAGCTGTGACAGACATTATCGTCCTGCTCTAAAACCATGCTGGTTCGGGTTGTGTTGGTTGTGCTGGTCCATGAAATTTGCAATCTGCCGTCTCGTCACTCTTTCGAAGATTTTTATGATGTGAGAAGTTAGGGCTACTGGTCTGTAATTTTTAGCTAGTGTTCTACTACCTCCCTTGATGATAAATTAGACACATGTGCAACTCTTTATTGAGGAAACGTTTCGCCACACAGTGGCTTCATCAGTCCATACGTAGGAGAAACTTGAAGAACAGGAGGAGAATGAGGTAATCAGTCCCTCAACCTTGAGTCGATGTGTTCAGTCCATCAATCTTGAATAGAATACGGCATATGAGCGGAGAAGCAGCTTATAAACCGTATGGCAGGAGAGGTGCAGCAGTCATAGGTGGTGTCACATTTGTTCAATGTGGAAGTAGGTCGTGCCCAAGAATTAGGCAAGCGAAGAATTCCTAAGTATTAAGATCCCAAGAAGTTGCAGTGTCTGACAGGTTTGTAGATGAATGGTTCAGAGAACCGACATGTTGATAAATTAGACACATGTGCAACTCTTGGGTATCTTTGTTGAGGAAACGTTTCGCCACAGTGGCTTCATCAGTCCATACGTAGGAGAAACTTGAAGAACAGGAGGAGAATGAGGTAATCAGTCCCTCAACCTTGAGTCGATGTGTTCAGTCCATCAATCTTGAATAGAGTTGCACATGTGTCTAATTTATCATTATTATTATAATCAAGGGGGAAGCGCTAAACCCGGAGGATTATACAGCGCCTGGGGGGGGATGTGGAAGGCATTCAGGCTTAATTCGGGGAACTGGAGCACAGATCCAATTCCCTAAATCAAGAGCCCCTCACCAACATCAAGGAACCTTCCTTGAGGGGTCTAATTTATCAACATGTCGGTTCTCTGAACCATTCATCTACTACCTCCCTTATGCAGCTATGCCTGCACTCTTTAAGGCCTCCGGTATTTCACTTAGCTCTAAGCTCTTTCTCCAAAGAATACTGAGGGTTCGTGCTAGTGGTACTTTTCACTTCTTTATAAACAGGGCATTCCATGAATCTGGTCCAGGTGCTGAGTGAGTGGGTATATTGTCCATTTTCTTTTCGAAATCTATGGGATTTGTACTAATGTCTGTTAGTTGGTCTGCGCGGCCTTCTCCTGGAGTGAAAAATATTTCTGCATTTTCTACCTTGCTGTCATTTAGTGGGTTGCTGTGTATTAAGTAGCATGTAGAATCTCAGTGATTATTCATATATAAAACCACTAACTACACATTGCTATTTCTTAATCAAACAGTGTATTTTTTCACCTTTTTAATTTTTTATCTAAAACTGTTTTACTTTTGATAGAAAATACACAAGTTGACAACATAATTGGAAAATAACTTCAACTTCCTTGAATATAAGATAGATAATCTTATAAATGCCCAGCAGATCCCCTTGGATCTACTTTATGATGGTTTGTGATGATTTCTTCCATTTTTTCCAAAGTTTTCAATAACTCCAAATGATCAAAGAGAACAGTTGAATAGGATGCAGCCTTTAAAATCATCACAGAAGAATAAATCTTGTATTAAGAAGTTTTATCTTCCTCTGTACCCTATATTCTGCTAATTCTGCTATAACATGCACCAAGTGTGAATGACTGTGTTTGCAGCCATCTGTTTTTTTTAAAGAACTGAAACTTGTCGTTGATTCCTTTACCAGCTTAAAATTCTATCTCAACTTCTTGATCGATTGTAGTGTTAACGCGTAACGTCACAGGGTGAGTATCCGCCATATTGGCGGTCAAGCTTGTGCCAGTGTTACTGTGTTTATCTCTCGCCAGTAGCAACAAAACAGTGTTTATTTGAAATATTCTGAGATTCTTGAGACCTGTTGTGCTGTTCGTTTTTAAACAAAAAAGGCAGGAGGAAGCGTCGTTTTATCACATTTATGTCGAGAAAAATCACTGTGGAAAACGATTAGATTCACATAGTAAAATTGAATAAATCAAATGTCATATTTCATGCAGACTTTAATATAAAAGCTTAGTGGATATACAAAGTTTTCCCTTGTCTTTCAAATTCATATTTAGTCGGGTGAATTTGAAACTAATTTGGTCATTCGTTATAGCGACCTTGTTGAAACCTTTTTTCTCTTTCACTGAGAAGCTGATGGTGGTCCTAATCGAACATTTGGCTTGAGATGAGCCTTTTTAATGGCTCGGGCAGGATCAGCTGAATATTTGATGGGACAAACTTATCAACATAGCCAAGTGTCACTGAGAGGACTGTGCTGCTCATTTTCTTCGACTTTGTTCTTCACTAGCATTCAGCATGATGTTAAGCTCCTGATGTTCCTTATTTGTCAGCTGAGAGGGCTTTGGGAGTTATTGTCTTAAGCAAATGTTACTCTTCATATTTTCTGGTAAAACTGATTATTGTTGCCTCGGTATATGCTACGCTTCTGACTAATATCAACTTGCTTGTTTCACAGAGTAAACATAGCTTTTCCGTGCAGGACATTCCAGAGTTGACTGTTAAGCACCTTTAATGTCAATTAAAGCTGTCCCTATGTGTGTCCCAGCCATGCATGTACAGAGCTACTGGAGTGACAATCATTCAACTGATGTTAGACGACCCAAAACAACTCCAAAACCTCTGCAACTATTTACGAGATTCAGGATGTTTAGGATCCAAGCTTCATTGCAAGCATTGTGAAATGCGTACGTAAGAGACCTAGCAGAGATCTAATCACGCTAAAGAACACACTTATATATGAAAAACAAATACAGCTAAGTTTAAATAATTAAGAATGTTTAATTGGCACATCAGATCTTATATTTTCAGATCATGGATTGGGACAAAGTAACAATTATCATTAATGAACAGAGATAGAATGGGGGGAGGGTATTTTTTCCACAATGTTTATTATACAGTAAATCAGTTATCATATATCTAATAATTTTAAATCCCAACCCAATATGAAAAAGAGTATCATCCCTTAGGATGCAACCTGTACTAGTAAGCTAACACCCAGTTACCTATATCCTGTTAGGTGAACAACGAGAGCAAGTTAAAGGAAGCTTGCCCACATGTATTACCTTGCCTAGGAAATGAATCAGTGCCTCTGTAATTATGAGCTGAGCGTTACAAATCACCTTTAGATGTGGCAAAGATTAAAGTCTAATTTTTATTATGTTCTTGTGAAGCGTTAAATTTGAGTTGATCATTTGGTTGTTCATCGCAAGGTATCAGAGGCTCGCTCCTCCATTTGCTATGAACAGACACACTACCACTCAGTAAACAGAGCGGAACAAAGGTTCTATATATCACTACCTCTGACCTCACTTGTTTTGGGGGAAAATTATCAACACGTACACTTCAGAGGTAAAGCCAGCCTTATATGCATGACAAGCACGAAATATTTTTATTCCATTCCCCTTTGTTCACTCTCTTCTCTTCTAGAATCAGATGAGAAAACTAATTTCATATCTTCGTGCGGTAAATTATTAACCTATATATGTCACACAGTGTTACGTTACTGTCTAGGGCTAAACTTCCAAATTTTCACGTTCGAAACGTAATTAACTCTATAAAAAGTGCTGTTTACCTACAACTGTCCAGACAAACATATGACATTTTTCATTTTTCTACAAGTAAATGTGTCACAATCCACACGAACTAAAGATAAGTCTTCTGACGTCGTTACTTCATAATGGAAGGTGATTGAGGGTCTAGTTCCAAATCTACTCACTGCCATAACAAAATAATGAAGTGAGAGATTTGGGAGAACATGTATTTTAAACGCAGTGAATAGCTCTAGCGTCTTGGGTACACACGGTAAGAGAACATCATATCAACGTTTGTGGTTCCTGACTATTTAACATTTTACCAGAAGGTATTAGAAACTGCTGGGCAAATGTAGTCCTCAAGATGAAATTCGATCAATAGATTTTTTAGATGCCGGATCAACAAGGATGTGATGGATATGCGAGTCAGCGAGCCGATAAAAATCAACAGCCTATCTGACCAAACAAGCACCAAATAACCCTGGCCCCGGATCGGGCAGCGGGAGTATAAAAACGCTGCAAATCCGTCAAAGATTTGTAAACGGTAAAGGTCCAGGTCCGCCCGAAACGCTCTTATGATTTCAGATATCAAGAGCAGAGGGGAGAAAGGGTAAATTGCTTCATCGTTAATGATAACTGAAATCTCTAAAGATTTCAGTGCATCCATATTTTTGCACAGGTTAGTTGGATGACCTGTTATTTGATGAGATTGCAAACCAATAATGACCCTACTGTAATGTGTAGATTGGCTATCTGAAAAAAAGTGAAATATAGAAAGTTTAATATTTTTCAAGATGTAACTATACCCAGTGGGATCACATAAAACCCATTGTGACCTCTGTAATCCTGTTCTTTTGGCACTACCGCTCACAGAATGAGCGGCGGTCTGCTGTGTGCAGTTAACTAGTCACTCACAGGGGCAGTGGCCTGCAGTGCGCAGTTAACTAGCCACTCACAGGAGCAGTGGCCTGCAGTCCGCAGTTAACTAGCCACTCACAGGAGCAGTGGCCTGCAGTGCGCAGTTAACTAGCACTCACAGGAGCAGTGGCCTGCAGTGAGCAGTTAACTAGCCACTCACGGTGAGCTACAGCCTGCAGTGCACGCACAATAAATTAGCCGCTCAGGCGGTAATATATAAAAGTAATCTAAACGTTTGTCGTTAATTTTATGGGTTATTTGTGAAATATTCCACGCATGGTACTTTGCCTTTCATTATTTGTTGACGAAATAGGTGAATATGTTTATCAATATAACCGACAGTATATAGCTAAAAATACATATACAAAGTTCAAGATACTGGGGGAAACGTTTCGCCACAAGTGACTTCTTTGTATTGTGAATGGAAAGGCCACTCCTGGAGAAACGTTTCTTCGATATATTTCTTGAACTGTGCAATAAATTATAGCACCCATATTACAGGCCAAGTTATCTTACCAGCAGTGAACACAAGAAGCCAGATGACTGCGATGTGAGCGAAGATGTGTCTTCTCACACCGTTGTCTCGTCTTCTGCAGGCTACCATCATCGTCTTCTTCAGGCGAGCTGGAGTCAGTACTTCCAGGACTCCCGAAGTCTCAGAGGCAGGCGTCTCCATGGCGATAGCGCCAGGGCGCTTCTTCAGCCGCACCAGTACGTACAGGATGGCAACCACACATAGCACTGATTGTGTGCCAAACACAGCCAGGTAACCATAACCGCTGTGGTTGAACAGCACGAGTGCCAGACCTCTGCCGAGTGTGGAAGCTACTGGTACTAGTACCATCACTACAGATATACGTGTGGTGCGCGCCCTGGCATCTGTGTCTGCACTAATGTAAGCCGAGACGCTCATATAAATCGCTGTAGTTGCTCCCGTGAGACCAACTGGCACGAAGCATATCAGAAGAAATTCCGGCTGTAGTGGCCACCAGTAGGCGTTGGCTGTAAGACCCAGCGCCATGAGGAAGTAACCCAGCATGGGCACCAGTATGGGCAGGCGGCGGTCCCGCAGGTCACTCCAGGCGCCCAACACCATTACCACCACTACAGCAGGCACGTGCTGTATCACAGCACAGTACACATTATAGCGAGTCACCTGACGCTGTACCATGTCCTGTTCTGCTGGGAATCTGCCGCTGTTCAAATTGGAACATATTTCTGTGCTGAAATTGAAGTAAAAGAGACACGTCTTGTCCACCCACAAGTTTTTTATGAAGACGACATCTAAACCAAAGCCAATGACATAGAGGAAGACGGCGGGCTCTATGGTGATGGCGGACAGAAAGCTTGCCACTTTATCACAACATGAAGGACTGGTGGTGGTGGTGGTGGTAACAATGTTGTGGCACTGTCCACCATCAGTGGTCTCCTCAATTTTTCCCACTCATGACAAAGGTCACACGTACTCACAAAGAATACCTTCCCCTTCACTGGCAAACCTTGAGGTCATCTGCTAACCATAATTGTAAGAACATGAAATATGGGAAAGATTTTGAAATTCATTCGATTTACGGACTGTTATGTTTAAAAAAAAAATGATCATGAAAAAACAGACGATACCTCGCTCTCACTGATTTAATTTAGATTTAAAATCTCACAATGAATAGGCATGTAAATTTAAATTTAAAGGGCAGCCTACATAAGCTCTCCATGTGTTTCAAAACTGGAGACTTTATAAAATAATTTTCAAAACGGGGCATGGTTACATGTTTCAGTGTCACACAAAATAATGTTGGACAACAGGAGTTTCGTGTGATGGCGAGGGTGACGACTACAACCCTAGCCTCACCCCGCCAGCCACAACACTGCTGTTTCCTGCTAGTCAGGGGGGTGGTGAGGGGTGCAAACATGTAGTGGTTATTACTCTGGGGTAGTGGTGGAGGCACGACAGAGGGAGTGGTGAGGAAGCCGGTTGAGAGCTGGAGGGAAAAAAATGTGGGGAGTGTGGTGGCGGGATAAGTAAGTAGTAAAGGGGGGGGGGAGAGGAGACAGGTGGGAGGATCTGGGGGATGGAGGGTGAAGGAGGAAGTAGTGATAAGGGATGAGGGGGGGATGGGCGGAGGGGGCGGGGGTTTGGGACAGGGATTTGGTTGGGGATGAAAGGGGTGATGGAGAGTTCAGAGACAAAAGTTTTTCCTTCCAATCGGTGCTGCCATCTTTGTTGTTTTTATGTATGGTTCGCGTAACTACGTGAGTGTGTCAAGTAAAAGGAAGTGTTACTATAAGTAACCCATTTGAGGATAAAACGGAAAAAATATAACAGACTCTTAAACTGCCAGCTTTTTCTCTAAAATTATCTTCACTTTGTTACTAAATTATTCACTTTGGGAGCGTAGTTGTTTTGGGGCACGCCCCAAACGCAAACCTTCCACGTCTTCCTTTCATAAACTCGATTAAATCATAATAAAACGAAGTAATATATAGTTTTGTGTCTGACTTTTGGATATCCTTGGTAATTTACAGTGTGTGAAAATTATACTTATGTGTACCTGTACCTAAATAAAATTACTTAATACATCCTTAAACCTGTGATTATCAGTCTAATTTAAAAATTTAAATATATGCTAGTGGGGGAGGGGGGGGGGGAGGTTAAGGGGGCACAGGGGCTAAAGCTCCCCTGAGACAAATACTTCTTATTGTTTTTCAACTAAAGGCCAATTTTCACTATTTTTTCTGATCAGTGACCACAAAAGCACGATAATTTAAAAAAATTTCACGTAACTACATTAAATCATATTTTAAAAAAGATTTTTTGTTTTAGCATCTTACGACTTTCAAAATCCCCCCCCAGATTGAAATTCTGGTTTAAGGCCCCCCTCGAAAATGATTTCTGGGCAAATTAAAGAATGCAGTATTCCGAAAAGTTTTAGGACCGATATCGAAGACTATCTAATCAAAGCGGATGTTGTGACGGTACAACAACAAACTGAAATTCTTTCTCTGATATTATATTTTCTTTTAAAATAAGCACTCATTTTCTGTGTAGGTTCGCACTTGTAGTTTCAGTTTTAAAAATGCTATTAGTCACGTACTCAATGTTAGGGGCTCACCACCGGATACACTCAGGTTCGAAACCCATGCTGGGCGAAACGTATGGGCGTCCATCTTTTTATATTCTACCATCAACTTTTAAGTTAGGTCACCTCTACGTTACATGACTCATGCGAGTTTAGCGCATGAGTCATAGGGTATGAGTCATATACCTGGACAACGTACCTGGAGGTTATTCCGGGGGTCCAAAGCCCCCGCGGCCCGGTCCATCAACAGGGCCCCCCGGTGAATCAGGGCCTGATTAACCAGGCTGTTTACTCCTGGCCGCACGCAAGTCCAAAAGTACGAGCCACAGCCCGACTGATCCGGCACTGACTTTAGGTATCTGTCCAGCTCTCTCTTGAAGGCAGCCAGGGGTTTATTGGTAATTCCCCTAATGCTTGATGGAAGGCTGTTGAACAGTCTTGGGCCCCGGACACTTTTTGGTGTTTTTTTTCTTAGTGTACCAAATGGCGCCCCTACTTTTAATTGGGGGCATTTTGCATCGCCTGCCCAGTCTTTTACTTTCGTAGGGAGTGATTTCTGTGTGCAGATGTTAATTTCTTAGTTGTGTCGCTTGAACGGATAATTTATTGTCAGCTTCGTGTTCATCCTGTGAGCGAGACCTCTGAGCAACCTGCACCTGTCCTGGAGGAGAAGAAAGATAGATACCCCCCCCCCAAAAAAAAAAAATAAATAAATAAAAATACAGGTCCCACCTGGCAATTATCTTACATTCGTTTCATATATTTTACAATTACTTCACATAGTTAATTTACACAGTACCATACAGAGCTGGATAAAGACAAAATATGCAGTGTTAACGGGGATCCTTTATTAACACGTTTCGCACATAGGGGGGTTTCATCAAGTCACAAGCGAAACACTATACTGTATTTGTGTCTATGCATCGTTGTCGTTATTTTATACCACTTGTGTCCACAATATGGAGCTGTAGTCCTCGATAAAATTCAAGTATCTATTACGTACCACTTAAAAATGTTGGTCATGGTTTTGGGGTTTCAATCTTAGCAATGTCAGTTCATTCATCTAGCCAGTGCAGAATGTGGATATAATTTTGAAGATTTCAGATGTAACAATGAAGGGTTTTCTGGGAAGTGTCCCAAATGGCTGAATATTTGGCCAGTGAGGTATGATGTTTTTAGTGTCTGAAAACAGCAAAATCTTGGGGTCTTAATACAGGGAATTTCTTCATTTGTCTAAACCCTTGGGGATGACCTACTTCCACATTGGACAAAATGTGATTTCCCCCTACGGGCTGTTGACCTCTTCTGCCTACGTATATGAGCTACTTCTCCGCACATATGCTGTAAACTTTTCAAGATTGATGGACTGACCACATCGACTCAAGGCTGAGGGACTGATTACTTCAAAACTCCTCCTGTTCTTCACCATTTTCCTTTGTATGGACTGATGAAGCCACTGTGTGGCGAAACGTTTCCTCATTAAAGATACTCAAGTGTTGCATATGTTTCTAATTTATCAGCTTGTCGGTTCTCTGAACCATTCATCTACAGTGTATGGTTCTGTCTTTCTTCACACAATATATTACCGGTATATGTTACAAACAACTAGATAAATAAGAAGCATGTACAACACCTGGATATCTTAATTATGAAGACGTTTCGCCATCCATGGCTTTCTCAATTCAGTACTCTAGAGATTATGAACTGGAGACAGTGGAAGATGAGGTAATAAGTCCCCTCAGCCTTATTGGAAAATTTTCAAGTTCGTGATATCAGTATTGAATTTAAAAAGGCACTGGATAGAGAATTTTTTTTTTTTGTAATAAAGATACCCAGCCGTTACACATGTCTTATTTATATCTATTTTTCTATACATTTTTACATTGCATGTCACTGACATCTCCAGACAAACTATACTACGGTAGTTACTTTTACCCTAGCCTTACTCTAGCAGTGACACATCTCTTATATACTAACCTTTCGTATTCTAGATAGGTCAGCTAATGGGGTTTAAAATCTATCTACTACACTAAGGTTTTAAAGCTGCGCATTACCTTTCCACTACCAGATATGAATACTTTTTAAACCCTAAACGTCCCTAACGTTTGCATATAGCCCTTTGAGAAATGTACCTCTTGGTGTATATATCCTGCGATGTATGCTAGGGGGGAGGGGAGTAGAGAGGTTTAGAGTAAGGGTCTCTGGCCTAGCTGGTTGAGGCCACTGTATACTACCAGTAATACATCTGGTGGAACCATATTTTTTTTGTCAGTAGAACTAGGAAAATTTCTCCTCAGTGAATCTTAGTCACCATGATGATCCACTCCGCTAAATTATTAGTCACAGGACGGACCCACCCGTAAATGGATTATGCATAAGAGTAAGTTTATTTGATGGCCTGGGGGAAATGTTTCGTTTCACACGCTGAGGACCCAGGTTCGTTTCCCGTTTAGGGTAAAAAACAGGGGAGTGTTCCTTAACGGTTGTCCATATTCACCCTCAGTAAAAATGGTCCCGGGGAGTAGTCGATGGGGTGGTCGCATCTCGGGACAAAACTGACCTGATTTGCCCAAAAAGTTTAATTAACAAGCAGATTTCTATATAACATTTATCATCGATGTCAGCGGAGTATATCTTGCGGTACTTGTAAAATAAAGTTTTATTATTTTTTTATTTTTATTATTATTATTATTAATATGGTTTTTTTGTTTTATTGTTGTTGTTGTTGTTGTTGTGTAATTTTACCTGGGATAACCCAAAAAAGTCAAAGTGACTTATTTCCTTTGGGACCCTTGGGTGTATTTCTCTTTGAGGTTTTTTTTCTGAGAGTTTACCGAAATACCTTTTTTAGGGATTAAAGTATTTCTGGGGGTGCAAAGGAAAACGCAGCCTTAATACCTTGTGTTGTCCCAACTTTAAAAATCCATTAACAGACCCACAGCTCGTCCTTTAATCAGGGGTAAGCCCTTTGCGTTCTTCTGCCCTTTCTCCAGTTACTAAAAACTTCCTAGGGGTGAGTTCCATAAGGTGCTGCGTACCCAAGATATGTTTTGTGTGTGTTGGTGTGTGTGTGTGTGGGTGTGGTTTTTGTGTGTGTGTGGTTGTGTGTGTTGGGTGTGTGTGGGAAAATTTCATTTATCTGAATGTAACTAATAGTACAAACGTAAATAATAAAAAGATAATTATTATTTATCAATGTTTCATAGACAAGTAGGAAATTTGGGGCCCTAGTAGCAAAAAATGTCCCCCCTTTGATACCCCCACGTCATAACCCAAAATTGCTCTGGACCCCTTAATTAAAAGAAATGTACATACACCAGGGGAAAACTGGGAAATATATAAAATTTGTGGACTGTATATTAAAAA